GCAGCTAAAGCAAGGGCGCAGAGGGTCCTTGGCCAGCACACTGTCTACCACTGTACCCTGCCTCTCACTGCCTGCCTTGTCCCTGTCTTTTCTCTTTAATGCCCTGCCTTCCCTTGTTGTTAAGATGGCCAAATAATTAATTTCTCTCAATTGATTGCCTGGAAACTACCTGCCTTCCACCTGAGAGCTGCTGTGTGTCAGGCTGCCAGGGGAAGACTACTTTGCCAGGACTAGAGGCCCTTGAGAACAACGACTGCTTTCTTCCTACCTGGTTTCCACCACTGCCACACAGCTTTAATGGGATTGCTGCTTTCTGTGGAGAAGCCGGTACCTTGTGGAGGCAAATTTTGGAGCTGCTTATCATTGGAGTGAATGGAACCCTTGACCCCTGGGCCAGGCTTCACTGCAGCTGTACTAGGCCACTCCCTATATCTTGGCCTCAACCACTCTTAGGATGAAGAATGGACCCCATGGACTTACAGACATCCTACCAGCTGTTTCAGATGGATCCTCACAGCTGGTGGAACAAAAATTGTCTCACTATCAGAGGAAAGACTGAGAAGACTGTCAGTACTTGGGTGGGCCATCTGAGGAAAAGACTGGCTACCCAGGAGGAAGAAAGGGAGGAGGTCTACATAGAGAAACACCAAGGCTGAGATTTCCATACCTGATTCACACTGTGAGTAAGAGTGCAAGCAGTCCCTGCAAAGATTAGGGTCAGCCTTGGAAAAGCCAGAAGTTGAACTTCCATTCCCTGTCTGCATTGGGCTAGGTAAGCTCCTGTTCCATGTCAGTGGACATGTGAATGTTTGGGATGGCTTAAGGTGTTCTGTGCCCACAAAGCCTCACAAGGACCACAGTTGGACAAGTAAAATGACTGAGTTGGACCATTGCTGGTAAAAGGCCAGGGCCCTGACACTGAGATCTTCCAGAATTTTGCCTTGGGCATAATCCTATAGGCTTCTTTTCTTGGTCCTGTCATGGCCCCAGCTGGCATCCCACAGACCATAACCCAGCAGGAGGTATTGTCCTATCTGTAAAGGAAATTCATTCTCTGCAAAGCTGGGAATACCAGGCTCCAAACTCAGAGGTTAGGAACATCAGACTGTTAAAATGATCATCCTACCAGGATTGGGAATTAAAATCAGAGGCTCTAACAGTTGCAGTGGAATTCAGAGAGTATCTTCAGCAATATTTTACAGATAAACAAACAGTCCCAGGAGACAAAATGACTTGGTCAAAGTCATACAGCAAATTAGTGGCAGAGCCAGGACTAACCTAATCCCTGAGGATTGGGCAATACTGTTTTAGTCCTGAAGCTGAATGGTAGATGAGCTCTGTGAAGAGTTGGTTAGGTTGGCATGGCTTCCAGTACTTTCTGAGCAGCTGGTACCTTCAGGAGTATGTCAGGGATTGAGGATGGGTGCCTGGACTTGGGTTGTGGAGTGGCTGACAAGAGGGTTCAGGAGGGCTCTGGACAGCTGTGTGCCGCATGGGGTTGGGTGTCTGTCTGGCTCACATTCAGTACCCATGGCCACCTTCCTGTTTTCTGTGCCTTATCTCACTGTTTCAGCTGAGTCCAAGTTGTTTACTCTGTTCCTCTCCATGAGGCTGTCTGTCCCAGTTGGACAGCTCATCTTTGGGACATATGCTTTTGCCCCACAAGCTGTGGAGAGGGCCACAACCAAGCTGCTTTAGCTGGCTGTCTTGCCTAGTCCAGGCCTGCCTGCAGCTGGAGGAGCCCCTTGTGTACACCCAGTCCTATCAGCCTGCTTCCAGGAGCCTGCAGTGTGGAAGGCACTTGGGAGCAACTGGGTGAAGGGCTGACCAGTGGGGGTTAAGAAAAAAACCTCTTTTGGGTCATCCAGCCCTGGGGGAGAAGCCTTCCCTACTCTCCTTTCCCCTCTGATGCTAGATGGTCGCTCCTTACAGAGTGGGAACTGGCAGACCACTCAAAGAAAGCCAGAACTTCCTATCTCCACCCATATGGGTCTGTGGCTGGGTGCAGGTTGTCAGAACAGGGAAATGGGGACTGCCTAGCCACCCAGCACCTTCCCAGCCCATAAGCAAGCACAAAGAAGAGACAGAGGACTGTTGGAGCTGAAAGTTCCTTTGGTTGCTCACAACTCAGGTATGCATGCCCGTGTGGCAGCTGGACAGCAGAGCCCTACTTGACCACCAGTCCTGGGCACCTGGACCTGCGGCTAGAAGGTGGTTTCTGGCTGCCCCAAGCGCCCACCTCTTTGCATAGGGTTTTCCTCCATTAGTGACTACAGCTGAAACAGACATCCTCCATATTGTGCACACTGGTTCTGCCTTTGTCCTCGCAAGTTGATACTTGGCATTAGCATGAAACTTGTGGGCATGGGAGGGTTGAGAGCGAATTCAACAAAAATCATCTTATTAAAATTGTACTTGAGAGATGAAAAAAAAACTCTTGTTGTATTTTGACAGAATTATTTTTTTTTATTTATTTGTGTGTGTGTGTGTGTGTGTGTGTGTGTGTGTGTGTGTGGCCAGCTCAGCCCACCAGGGGGCGGGGCTGGCTGGCATGTGGCGCTGGGGGATTGAACCGTGGTCCCTCTGATTTGCTTAGCTTGTTCTAAGTAGGTGCTTTAGACCACTGAGCCATCTCACAAGCCCCCAGAATTATTTTTATTAAAATACACATCCATGAAAAAAAAAAAAGTCCCCATGGGGGGCCGAGGAGATGGCTCAGTGGAATAAACACTTCTCTGGCAAATGCAAGGACCTGAGTTCAATCCCAGGTTCTGCCAAAAAAAAAATAAAATAAAATAAAAATAAATAATTCCCCATGGGCATCACAGCAAAAATTGTTTACAACAAATTGTTTGTAAGGCACATTAAGCTGGGTATATAGTATTCATTTTTTTAATGTTTTTCTATTGAAGAGTTCTCAATTTTAACTTCCTGAGTTTTATTATATTAAAAATGTGTACTTAAAAAGAAAGTAAAATAAGATATTTTATATGTAATGAATAGAATAAACATGAACATTTTGAGTATTAGCTATTTATTTGCTTACAAAACCTAAAAAATAATAACCAATAAATTCTTACATGAACTACACTGAAAATACAAACAAAACTCTACCACACAAATAATTTTTGCTTCAATCATCACATCTAAGTCAGTCTTCACACACAACAATAGTGTGTTCAATACATGGCTTACACTGACAGCACCTAAGTTTAGCTTTCCTTTCCTGTTTGGCAGGCATATTTTTTACCTCTCCTCTCTTCCTCTTTTGTCAGGCATTTCTTATTATATTATATATTGCATACTTAGCAGGAAAATGAAACCAATAAAATATCAAATATATACTATTTAGAATAAACATCAATATTTTCTGTACCCATTGTTTGCTTAATAAATCTAAAAAATAACAGCAGAAATAAATTCCAAGGTGACCTACAATGAAATTATAAACAAAACTCTACCGCTAAAATAATCTTTATTTCAATTATCATACCTAATTTCAGGGCAGTTTTCACATGTAAGAACTTCATGTTCCATATACAAATATCACTTACACTGATAACACATGTGTTTTATTTTCCCAACTTCTTTGATAGGTCATATTTGACATCTTGCTGGTCTTCCTGTTTTCTTAGGAGGTATTTGTGGTATTTCACCTGTCAATGTAGTGGTCTATTTCATATTTCTTGAGTTCTTTGAGTACATATATACTGTTCCTCCTCTGTTATACTTCACCACTTATCAATTCCATTCCCAATCCTATATGAAAAATTTCTCCATAATTTGTACTAATTCTTTTCACTGTGAACTATGAAACTATGTTTGCCTGACTCATTTAAGATTGAGTAAAGCTCAACCATTGGCCAACACTTTGTGTTTCAAATAACATCAGAGTTACTGCATAACTCATTAACCACATCTATCCCACCTTTCATTTTGCTGTAAATGTGACCATTTCTGACTTAATTTGTGTTGAGGATTTACTATCAATCTCTGTTTGTTTGCTTGCTAGAGCTA